ATCAGTTTTCTCCATGAAAAATTACGTGAAAAGAAAATTTACGAGCTAAAAATTAACACTTTGACCAGATGTCATGTTCATCAATTCTCAAATGTTTTGCTTTTATTTTTTAAATTTTTTAATGTTTCGCAAAATTGAATTGGAGCTTAGAGAATGCATAACACGACACTAGAATTAATAATATATTGCAAGCATTGTGCATGTTCAGTATAAATTCTGAAGATTGATGTTCACAATAAACTTACGTAAAGAAAAGATTTCAACTCCATAATATTTAAAAAAGCCGCTTTTCATGAGTTAAAAGTTGGCACATCGTTATGAGGAGAAATAGCGCACATCAAAAATCGAGCTTGAGTAGACGCGTAAAGTCAAATGAAAACTTCAAACATTGTTTACATGATGTAATTTATTAGTCATTAAAACATTAAGTTATAAACAGTGCACTCAATAAGTGAACTACTACTTTAGTTAAAGTATTTAGTGGATAACAAGTGGAAATCTCGTGAAGATGAAAATGTTAAAATGTTAACGAAAGATTTAATAACATTTAAAACGGAGAAATTGATTTTAATGTTTCTCATAACTTAACTTTGTAATTCATTTAAATACCTCAAAATCAGAAAATGAATCTCAGATTCTTGTTAACAAATTTCTAAAATAAATTCCAATTGGGAAATTGAAATGAAAAAGTTAATTTATGCATATGGAATTGATCGTAAACATCGATTTTATTAATTTTTAATTACTTTTATTGCAAAATATTAAAGTTTTAATTATTATCTTAACCTCGATGTTTATGATCTGAAGTTGTGTCAATTTGGAAAACTCGACTCTTAACGTTCCTTTAAATGAGTTCTTGGCAATAACAATATCGACATTTACTGCACATTTGATATCAAACATAAAACAATGACGAAATTTATTTTTAAAACCTTAACTTGTTTGATTATTTATTGAACCCGAAATAAAAAGAATTGTTGATCTCGTTTGATTGCGCAATGAACTGCGGGGTATCTTAAATCCATCTCTCACGAAGCTTGTTTAATTTTTTCCTTTGTTATTTGGTCCATTAAATTATTGGTTCAAATTTCAACAGGCCTTTCACTTTGATTGATCTGAAAATGTCGGTAACAAGACAAGCTGATAAATAGATGGCAATACTGATGATCAAGCATATTGATCAATGAAATGAAAGGCTCAAATTAATAGTCATGTTAACCAATGTCAAACATATGAAAGAGAAGTCATTCACAAATTCAAAAACAAATGTTTTAAATATTGCTTCCGTTTCAAAGTGATTCTTTTACGCATAAACTTTTGTTGTAAGTCATGGGTATGAATCGATTAATGTTGGGTGAACATTTATTAGCCTTCATAGACAGTTTGCCGCTTTAATCAATAAAGGGTTGATCATGATCAAATTTCAAAAGATTTCAGTTGCAATGATTAAGCAATTTTAGTTTTGTGTACGATAAGATTAAGTTGCTTTCATCTTGAACAATACTTCTTCCTGCTTAAGCCAATAATTACATCATTTGAATCAACTTTTATCCAACATGCTTGACTCTTGTCTGCGTTTCTACATTTTTCCTTTTCTTTAGTCAAATGAAGACATAACTGCAGATTACTTTACAACTGGAATTAGCAGAAAATTATTACAAATAAAACGTTCAACGCTGAAAAAGATTAAACTCGCCTCACAACAACATAATTTAAAATAAGTTGGCAGTGATTCTAAACTTCATAACATTACAGGTTGTGGATTGTAAAAATGATTTATTTTCGTTCAGTTTTCATCTCTATTTGTCTTCTTCAATTGTAAAACATCCACTTAACAAACAAAATTCTTCAATTTTCACATAAAAGAAGCTTAAAAAAGTTTTAAATTTCTTATAAATTCCTTCATCAATGATAATATCAAAAATCATTTGATAAAAAATCAAATACGAAAAATTATTCTCAACTTGGCTTGTGCATTCTTCGCAAGACAATTTTAAGATAATTTTTGTTTTCTTTAAAATCTTTATGATAATAATGAGAATGTCGAAGCACGTCGATACACATAAAAACACATTTATCGATTGAAGCTTCCGATGTCAACAACAATTGGATTGTTAAGAGAAGGAATAAAAAAATTGTACATGAAATTATTGGCAATTTTGCACGTACAATGGATTTTGCCTTGTTCATCTATTTTCCAACTCCCCCGATCGAGATTCCAAGCAGACCATGTGCCACAACATGAGCTAACAAATCTCCACCCACGACCAACATGTTTAACACAAGAGACAAATAACATCACAAAAACAGAATTGAATCATCATCACCATAATGATTATCAAATAAAAATTTTCTAGGTAGTGAAACAAACGGACATGAGATCCATGATGATGATGAGAAGGAATAAAAAAATCAGGAAATTTTGTGCTTTGACGAACTCGTAGCAAATTGGATTTGACGATAATAAATAACGAAGAATTATGAAAGAAGTTAACAAAATAGATTTGATAACAATGAAAAGCTTTGTTTGTTGTTCATTAGGGAATAATTAGAAAACTTAATCAAATTTGATTATGTGCGTTAAATTTTTTATAGGAACAGTTGAGGCTTTCTCTTGTCCAATAAAAATATTAAAAATTAGTGAGAAATAATTTTACGTATGAGCTTGGCTAAAATTTAATGAATCATCTGAATGGAAATCGTCAAACATCAACAACAAATCTTTGACTATCTTTCGAGAATCAGAAATAATTTCGAAATGTCGACACAACTGTAAATATTTCAGATAAATAATTCACAATCAATCCTTGCTGATGCTACTGAAATAACAATTATTTACGTTCACTTTTTATTGACATGTTTCTCTTATGCTAAATATGATGCAATAAAATTTTTTGTTTTGTTTTGCTTTTGGAAAGAAAAAGTCGATTCAATGCATGCAACTGAATTGTTGCGGTTCAACGAAAGCGATGTTAAAAATATTGTGTGCTACTAATAAATGATGAGAAATTCATCTTTCGAATGAAGATTCCATAAGATATAATTATGTGAGTCAGTTCATGTGATCCACTTGTGAAATTTCCAAAGCGAAAATTTAATTGAAAAAAGTTGATTTTGCAATTTGACGTACGTATCAAAATAGTTGTTGTTGACTTTTCCTTTCATTTTGAAAGTGATTGATTCTAAATGTTTAACAAAGCAGTAGTTGAGATTGATTTGTTGAGTAACAATTTTTTCGCTTTCTGATATCAGATGACATGAATGGCTAAATGAATGAAGTCACGAAGCTTGAAAAGTTTTAAAGGAAAGAAAAGATTAAATTCACAAATTTTAACTTCACACAAGAAAGCTGTAAAAATGTAGACAAAAGTTTTCGGCACACTGATTTCGATTCATTTACAAAAGCCATCCAGGAAAAAGAGACAAAAGTTGGAGCTTTCTCTTCACCTTCATTTTTGAGACCAGTCACAATAGAACTTTACCACTAATCGCCTAATTTATGGGATTTTTTGTTGATTTTATTTTGTTCGACCTAGAAAACAAAAAGTGCGAACAATTTTGAATTGACCACCAAAAAGATAAATAAAACTCCGGAAAAATGTTGTTGCCAATCCATACGCCAACCAACTGAAAGCAAAATCAAATAAATTCATCGACGTCTGAACGTGTTTAAGGAAATTTCATGGAAGTTCACGAAATTAATTTCATTTCTTTTATTATAGACAAAAAATTCAGCAAAGTCATCTGCCTAAGATTGTTAGAAAAATGACGTTTGCTTTTTATTTATGCTGACCACGATAACTATAATTGCTTGTTGATTTATTATGAATCCGAAGAAAGTCAAAGTAGAATTAAATTTCTTTAAAAGCTGAATTATCACGGTTAAGTTGCGTAATTTTCAGATAACTTCATTGTGACATGAATTTTTATTGTTCATGCCAAAACACTTTCGGTTGTTCACCTCTAATCTCGTTAATATTTATCTCATCTTTCATCTTTTGTTTAAAAATTCCCTTCAAAATCTCTTCTAACTTAATCTAACAATGGAATCATAAAGATTCATGAAGTGAAATTTTCATTATTTTTTACGAAATTTAGAATACTTTAACAGGTAATGAAATAAAGTAAGACGACGACATGGTTTGAATTTTAACGCCGTTATTAGATGACAAGTGACAGCAATTTCTATTGCAACATACTTTTTTTTGGCTTAAAATATTTCGCAAATTCATCAGAATTTGTATTAAATTTGTGACTTCTATCAAGCAGCTTCGCATTGTTATTGCAAATGTGGGGAAATGATCTTAATGACCTAAACAACTATTTGATTAAAAATGTATAAACAAACAGGTAATTACAGTTTGATTAGATATAAATTGCAAAACACGATCATAACGATTAAAACACATAAATTGCAATATGGCTCGAATTTATAAAATGTTGTCAAAAATCATTCTAAATAATTCAATTTTTTGCAAAAAGTTCAACAAATTTTCTTTCATCTAATCGGTGAGCATGAAAAATTAAAAGTTTTATTGAATAAAAACTCATAATTTATGCATCACAAAATAATTAAAATTATCGTAATTTTCCGGTCTCCCACTCATTGATTACCAACGATGCTAACATAAATCAAATTAAGGAGGATCATTTTAATTTTAACCATTTGTTGTCAATTTTACGCCGGTAAGCAGAAGGCAAATTCAGCAGCATCAAAACATGAAGTGAAATTAATTTAAAAAGTCAACTTAATCAGAAATGTTAAAAAACAACGCAATGTATTACATAATTGAGAACATGTCATTATAATTAGCATAAACTGTTAAAATTATAAACACGAATTTTAATTGAATCTGATTATCGTGATTCTCCCTCAACAATTAGTTTTACATTTAAATGAAAAACTAATCGAAACATAAATTCCAACTATTGTGAATGTACACGAGAGAATGTTTGCTTTTAATGTTTTTAAAATTTTTCACACTTTCAATAAATCAAAGATGAATGAAAAAAAGTCTGTAAAGTTGGTCTTAGAAACTATTAAGAGATAAATAATTGCAGGTGAGATTGCGTCATATTTTCTAGAAACTGCTTCAGTCGTATTCGATGAAATAGTAAATTGTAAAATTCCGTGTTGGTAATAAATATTTGCGATACAATTTACGATATTTAAACAGATTTATTAAGAGGGAGTTAAGATTGTTTGAAGGATTTATAATGCATTTTAAAATCATTTGTCGAGTGAGAAAAGTGTTTTATTTTCTTGAACTTATTTAGTCAACAATTTGAATTAAACTTCAATATTATTTACACGTTGCACAGACTTTTAGTTTTCATTTCATTGAAATTAAATGATGCAAAACATTTCAAACTAATCGGCAGTGGAAAAGATGAAAACAAGCTTTTAAAACATATGAAGGAAGATATTTGCAAATTATCTCAAGTGGTTATGTGACGACCACATGGAGTGTTGAAATGTTTACATAAGATGATTATTTTAATGAAGACTTAAGTTGCATGATCTGAATGAATGAGTAAAACAGATTTAAGAGAATAAAAATTATTCTTATTAGATCAAAATCATTTTGAAGCTTCGTTTCATGTCTAAATAATGATCATTATAACTCGCACTATCCACTTTAATATTTCATTATTCCATCAACCTCTCTACCGTCTGTTTACCACAATAGCCCAAGTTCAACATGACCATTAAAAGTACAAGTCGGATCTTTCAAATTAATTTTAACAAAATTGTGTTGGCTGGAAATTTCATGAATGGATGAATAGCATCGTTTACAGCTTTTCATGCGTAAGTGAAGACGCCAAATTAAAACTCTCGAAAGTAAGCTTAATAGCTGCTTCAGTAAAGACCAGTTGAAAACATGTTGAATGAAAACTGCATCAAAGCTTTTGTCTCGATGATGTGCTCATAATACGCACTCCCGCATACTAAACATTCAATGAACAAAAGCATAAAATGAATTAAAAGAAAAAAGAGGCGTAAAAAGGTGACAATCTGATTCCACTCTTCGGCTCAAAAACTATCAACATGTTTAATTGAAATAAAATTTATATGATGATGCGGAAAAATATAATTTAATCAGAGAAAATTTTGTTTCTCTCATCGTTAAATCGCCGCTTATTCAAAATTTATTATGACAAAGTGCGTGTTTAATATTTCATTTGCAATCCTTGTTTCGCATGATGTTCTACATTTTATGTTTAGCATTAGTGTTGCTTAATTAAGAATTTAATTTCTTCGTTATCGAATGGAAATTTCGTTGATTTCTATTTTATTTTTCACGAAATTGTTCGATTTCATTTATTTTGAACTAGACAAGCGATTTGAATCCTTCAGTGATAAAAACTTGTCTTTCTGTTGGTTTAACACTGTCAGATCAACTGTCAAAGTGTCTCTATTTTTTATCATTTATCTTCATAGGAAAATAATGTTTCAGAATTACAATTCAACTATTTTTGAAGCAACTTCACGAGTTTGTTCTTAAATCTCTTCTCGGAAATCAGAAAATGTTTGTCACGTCATTATTTTCATGCGAGTGTGGAAAATATTTGCATTGTTTGCCACTAAATCAGCAAAAATCATTATAAACCTTGCTTTTAATCTTGATTTGCTTGAACAAATATTTATTAGCTCAAATATGTGAAAGTAGATAAACAAATGTGGATAAAAAATTAATCTAACTGACCTCACACAAGACACAATTTTGAGTTTCTTATACATGAATAACTTATTGAAAAAATTATGTTATTCGATTTATAATCTCTTTTTTATTCCCCGATTTAATTTACATTTTAACAATGAACGAATAATTTCTTTTCGTTGCAAATTTTATTTTAATCTCAAACAAAAACTTTTGCTTTTCTAAAAATAGTTTTTTGAATTTAGATGAAGCTTCGTCGAGGAAGAAAAAAATTATCAAAGTTTCTATCAGGGAAATGCAAACAGACGAATCACAAGGGAGATAAAACATAACAAAATGAACAAAGTTTCGCATTACTCAACACGTTGACAGCGAAGTTTGTCCGGCGGGAGAATAAATTTGTCAAATTATATGTTTCATAGAGAATGCATGACAATTTCCTTGGGTTTAGATCGTGTGTCGGTTTTTTTGCGGTATGTTAAGATATGTACGAACCTTTCATGCCTCATTTTTTTAATTCATTTTTAAATAACAAGCAAAGCGATGAGAACCGAGAATTGAATACCACAAAGGTACAAACGAGTAGAATAAAATCAAATGGTTTTGAAAAATGTTAAAAAAAATACTTTGGGGCATTGTCGGAAGCAGAAATCTAAGCATAAAGATCAAAATAAAAATAAATGCCAAACATGAAAGTAATGTTCATAATAAAAATTGAATGTTTATTTATGTTTACAAAAGATATCATCTGCTATTTGAGTTAAACATCTCGATTGATGTTAATCATCGCAGCTACTTGTGAAGCATTCTTTTACCTCACTCGATCCAACTTCAACTTTCGTTTTCACAGAAAAATGCGATGATGCGGTGATTAAATGTGCATAAGCATATAAAATATGAAAACAAAAGTTTAAGATGTTTAACTTGTTTTCCAACTTTCGTAAAATGACAGAAGAGAAGACGGTAAATTAATCAAGGCAACGAGAGTGATTCTTGTACTTAATAGTTTTGACCTTTACTATCAAAAGGTTTGGGAGAAACATTACAGTTTGTTCCAATTAGTGATTATTAAGGCACATTAGCTCAGTGTTTAAGTTGTTTAAATGGCGAATGCCAAACCCGATTTCCGTTTCGTTTTCGAAGAAACCAACCACTTAAGCACAATAAAACGAAAATTGATCTGTTTTGCTGGGATTGAAATAAATTTCTTGTTGTGGCTGAAATGATTTTCTTGGTCGGTGTGGATGGGGAGAAACCGCTGTAAGGTCAAACGTGTTTCACGTCTTGAATTTTAAGCACCAAAAACAGCTCGCGATTCTGTTTATTTTTCATCATTTTAAAAGCGCCGCTAATTGTCGTTGCAAGTTTTTGTTTTCTTACGGTTTCATTTACATATTTATTGCAGTTAAGTTACAGAGAGGGTTCATTAAAGCATTCATTTCAACAAATGCGGAACCGCACACAGCATCGAATTAATTTGAAGCAGTTTTCATTGTTCGTTTCTTCCTTTCTTACCACGAGGCATTTAAGCGACTTGACAATTTATGGACATTCATCTAACTTGTTGAAAAGCTAACAAATTTTTCGCAACGACTGAAAGGCCTTTTCTTAATTGTTATGAATTGTAATGCTCAGCTAATTAAACCTATTCGGTAATTAATGAAATGTCTTAATTAAAAAGCGACATAAATATCGAACGAACACACATAAAAGTTTCAGAAGAAGTTCTTAAACCTCACATTTTGTTTTTGTTAAGCATCGAAGCGTGATTTTTAAAAATTATCAACTTGTTTATAAAATGAACATTTTAGCAAACACAATGCAATGAGTAAGTAAATATGAAATATTCTGATTGCGAAAAACAAGCATGTTGACATAAACATATAAAACATAATTGAGAAAAGCACATGACAATATTTAATTCATTCTACACTTTGTACCGTCACACTTTGTTAAGAAATTATTTAAATAAGTTTAAGGGAGGAACACAAATCAACATCATCACAATAAACAGTTGGTAAATATTCGGTCAATATTTATGAAAAACCATCAGATATTGTGCATTCATAACTTCTAACACTCACATAATTGTTACGAAATATCTCATGCATTCGAAGTAAACATAGAACGACGTCCATGCATTATGAATTTCTCATGTTTTGTTTAAATAACAACATGAACATTGCCGAGAAAAAGATTCGTTGAGTTGCTGAGTTCAATTTAAGATGAAATCGCATAATGTTGAGGCTGAAAAACTTCAACATAAAAAGTCTTTTTTTTTCTGAAATTTCGTCACTTCATTCAGTTGGGAATGCGAATAAAGTGTACGAAGAATGTTGAACATAAAATCGAACTTTTAATAATGAAGTGAACTTTTATGCTCAGATCTGTTCAGATTGTAATTTAATGATGGAAAACTTTGCACGTGAACAAAAAAATAAATTCATTTTAAATCAAATAAATTAGCTAATTAAATCGTAGAGCCAGCCACATACTTCATTTGCATCATAATTTAAACTTGTTGGATTGACTGGTATCCTTCGAGAAAATTGGAAAATGAATAACATTATCGCTAATTTCCTCTTCGTTTCTGCATTTGAAAAAAACTTCTACGTCTACCTAGCAGATGATTTGAATGATTCGATGAATAATTTATAATTGGAATAATCAATAGTGAAATTAAATATCTTATAAAAATATCTGCAGTATTGTAAAATTCTGTTTAGGGAGTGGAGGATTTTATGTACCATTCGAATGGATATTTTCGTACTTTTATGAATGTTAAGGTTAAATGATTCAACATCCGACAACTTTTTATGGATTTGTTAACATTATCTTGAGATGATATTTAATTGAATTTTCTTCACTTACTGTTGTAAATAAATTTAATATTTCGTTTTCCGATTTCAAAGTGAATTCATAAATAAAACGAAACGTTGGAAATTATTTTAAGATTTAATTAGACTTACATCATTCAGAGTTTAATTTGAACATAAAACTTTCTCATTCAGGTAGGCAACAATTTAACCTTGAATCTCTTGAACAATGCTCGCATTCTATCAAACATTTACTTGAATATTATAAATTGGTAGCAAGTTTCGCTTATTTGGAATCATAAAGAAACGACGCCAACTAAAAAAAGTTCTTGTTAAAAAAAGAATTAAACAATTAACTTATTCAACTCTATTCATACCTCCTACAAGTTGTGTTCCATTCTTAAATATTCAACAATAAGTCTGAAGTTTCTCTACTACAAATGAACATGCATAAAGTTAATGGGAAACTCGCCAAGAAAGAGATTAGTAACATTAGAATCAATTCGTCTCAAATAATTTACAGAATTATAAATTACCTTCCATCATTACATTTTCATGCATTAACATTTTGCATATTTCGTAAAATTTCCATAGATTTTATTGAGTTGCAAGCCAGCAAGTTTATTGCTGATGCTTGCGATTAATTCAGAGTTTTTGACAAATAGCAAACGACACAGTTCCTTCTACATGTCGACCATCATTAGAAAATTAATTTAATTAGCACACTTGGATGCTACCGCTCATCATGCATCGTAATTATATTGAAAAACGTTCTTTTGTTTACTTTCAAATGACATTTCCACAATCAACCACCATCTCTGTCTCGTTTGCTTCACACTATACAGCCAATTGTGTGCATTGCGGTTAGCATCAGGAATCGTCATCAGGAAAATTTGCATATACAATTACAAGACATGAAGTGTAAAGCATCAAATCAATTTTATGGCTTTGAACAAATCTTTAGTGATAAATTTTAGAAAATTTGTTTATGTTCTATAAGATCTGAAAATTCTCGTCCATAAATTCACAAAATTCAATTTCAGCAATTACATCAAGATCTATCAAAGTTCACTGAAACGTTAAATTTCATCGTACGCTTTAATAAATTTGTAATACTTTAATTAAAACATTAATCATCTCAATGGATTTCTGTAGTCAACCGACCATAACTTCGGGAAGCGCTTTCACACTGCAACAAACACTGCGTTGAATTTAACAGAAATTATAATAAAGATTAAGGCTTTAATTAGATTTGTAACAAATTTTACCTTAAATTCGATAAATTCAAAAATAAATATTGAAAAATATTTCTTAACATCATGAACCATATAAACATGAAATCAATTTACATAATTAATTCATTAGAATGGATCGCACGAAATTCACTTTAAATATTTATTAGTTAACTTATTTTTTTTCGTCCATTTTTGCAAACTCACCAACGCTGTAAAAAAGCAGCCCAACAAGTCGTTATTCTTTCTTAAGTACAGATTCAAGTTTACGATTGCTAACTTCTCGAATCGACCTCGACCCTCCATTGTGTCATGTTGTATCATGTTGCTATTGTTAATATATTTAAAAAATTAATCAAAACATTCCCACAGCCTGTAAACTGATTCGTGATTCTCGAAAAATAAATGAAACAGTTACCAAAACGTTTTCTGATAATTTAGTTTGATATTTAGTCAAGTTATTGTGTTTATCATAATAAGTTTTAATTATTATTTTGCAGTATATCAAAGTGTTGAAGGAATCACAGTCAAACCCAGTGAAATATCAATAACAACTTCAAAGCCAATGATGAAGTTAACAATTGGAAATAAAACGATCCACAGAGAGTTGCAGATGAGGTCGCCAGATAATCGAATTCGGCGACTTATTCATCCCTACATGCCTTATTACTTCCCCACTAATGATTATAATAATCCAAGGGAATACCGACCATTGGTAAATGGAAATTTATTTATAATTTCAATAATTAATTTATTCATTTACAGCATCAAAACATGATGGTGCGGAAAAAACCGCCACCGCAAATTCCAAGCATTGCACTTCTTTATGGAGGCCCTTCAAAATTCCCACCCCATCGACCAGCAGTAACAGCTGGTTTTGTCTACAAAGCAAGGCCTGAACCATTCAAGACTTACACTCGATTCCAACCACAGATGCAACCAAGCTACAACAATTACAATTATCAACCACTTAGTAGCGGATATCATCCTCAAGTTAATCAGCAAATAGTTGCAACATCTGAGAAGCCAAATTTTATATCCGAGAAAAATAACTTTACACCATTTTTAGACACAAACAAGTTGCCAGGTGATTTTGTGCCAATATTTAAGAATACAAATTTACCATACAAAAGTTATGCTGAGAATTACGTTCCAAATAGTGGCGTCAGGTAAGAAAGTCTTAAATTTATTGCACATCACAATGCACCGAATGTGTGAATTCATTTAACAGCAATGCACAGTCATATCCGCAATATGAACACAAGCTTGAGAAAATGAAGCCATTAGATGAAGATGAATTTATTCCTATGAATCCATCAACAGCTTATCAAAATTTCCTTTCCAACTCTAATCGTTTGTAAGCTTTTAACATCCCAAAAACTATCAAAACTTTTTAGATTTGTACATATGATTTAAATTAATTCTCTTCCAGATACCATTCTAAACTTGTTCCTTCAAATGATTATAACAAGATTACAGCTTCGACTGTAAAATTTTCAACTCCAACTCCAGTTTTCATAACAACAGAAGCTCCACAAATTTCTGCGGAATTCCCCAGTTCTCCTGAAAATTCCTATGATTATATTGAAATATCAGATCCAACGACAACACCTTTGCCTCCATCTGATTATCATACTGTGAAAGTCACAACCTTCGCCCCTGATCCAAAATTCATTGAAAAGATAAAAATATTAGCAGCTCAAAAGCAATATGAAGAAGAACTTGCTGACATCCATACAAGTTCACCAAAAGAAGTTCTTTCAAAACTTCAACAAACAAATCACTTGCCTGAAACATTTACACCTGATAACGTCGACAATTCGATTAAAACGCTGGTTAAAATTCTTAACAACATGAAACATAAAGAGCTAGCTAAGAAACCACCGACAGTTTATAGCAATCAAGCTGATGAAGATTATGATGGCTATGATGATTATGATGGTAATAATTTGATTGAGTTAATGATAATAAAAATTTGTGTAAATTATTTGTTATTCTTTATCTGTTAGACACTATAAAAGACGGAAGTCCGGGACCTAACAGGTATTTATTGTCACCTTAAATAATTTGTTTTAAGATTCATTAAGACATTTTTTATTTCTCAAGTGGTCGACCGGGAATTGATTATCCAAACTTCCATGAAATCCCACAAACAACTTTCACATGCCGAGATCAACGTTACAAAGGTTTCTTTGGGGATCCAGAAACAGATTGTCAAGTTTGGCATTATTGTGATTTAAATGGAGGAAAAGCAAGCTTTTTGTGTCCGAACGGAACAATTTTCTCTCAAATTGCACTGACATGTGATTGGTAAATTATTTGAAATAAAATTTCATCTTATTTTCGCTAATAATTATAAAATTATGCTAACAGGTGGTTTAATGTTCGATGTTCAACAACTCCACAACTTTATGTTTTAAACGAGCGTCTCTACAAATACATTTTGCCATTCACACCGAAATTCCCTGAAGATTATAGCGGTCCTTTGGTCGATAAGTAATTGATTAAATGATTGTCTATTTGAAGAAAATCTTAAATTAATTGTTTGATTTATCTGCTTAGGTATTTGGCAATTAAGTTTCAAGAAATGGAAGAGAAACTTAAATTAGAAAAGGAGAAAGAACGAGAAGAAGAATTGAAAAAGTTGACTGAAGAATCAAGTGAAGTGAAGCAAACACAAAATGAACTAAAAGATGAAATTGAAATCCAATCTGATGAATCAGAAGATGAAGCTACTGTAGAGAGATCGTCCGTTGAAATTAGTCAAGAAAATATGACATATACTTCTGACCCTATAATAAATCCTATTCTTGATGTGCCGAAATCAACTCCACAACCTGTTTTAGAATTGCCACCAATTCCTAAAACGATCGTAGAACAGGAAAGAATTGAATTGATTGAGATCAAAAATGACGGAACAAGTGGCCATTTGACTCATGACTTACATTAGTTTTTTTTACCAAGGAAGCCTTTTAAGTGATATTTGTTAAATATGTGCGCTGCTATTTATTTTGTAGATATTTTTGCTTCCATAATAAGTTTAGACATTTTCCTCATAATTTTCTATAAAATTAAATTCTTTTAGTAAATGTTCCCTATTCCTTTGAAGGGGAATTAACAAGTAATTTACATACTTAAGACTTCTATAATTTTCCTATCATAAGTGGTTTACTTGATAGTGATATTTATAGATATCTGATAAACATAAAGATATTTAAACTTCTGATTTCATTGAATACATTTACACAATTGATAAGTTCCTCTAGTCATTAATTTTCAAAATTTATAAAATTCTTTTAAATATTGTTTTAATTTCATAAGAATATTTATAATAAAAACCTATTTTAACTTTCTAAATGATTTTGTTTCAATTGATGTTTTTTTCATACTTTGATCAAAAACATAAATTTAACGGTTAAATTTTAAATTCCAATCAACAAATTTACCATAGTTTCACACCCAACAACAACAAATCGCTGGCAGCCAATTGTATAGATAAATGAAATATTTTTATAAAATTAGTGTTTATTATTAAATATATTAGACTATCAGACTATGTTATCGCGTAAGAGTAAAGACAAGACTTCCAAAACAGGGTTGGCTGGAAAATATATCAAAAAAGATACTTCAAATCCAGAAATAAAGCGTAAGTAATTCTTCGCAATTATTTTAAATAAGAAAAAAAATTATTTGTCTCTTCACAGTGGTGAATGTCTGGACAAATGAACAAAATAAGAATACAAAACCAAAAATTCGTCAATCTACACCGTTTGATGATCAACCATCATCAAGTAAGATAAAAATAAATGGATTGGGAAATAGCCAGGAAAGAGATGAATTTTCTCAAGGAAAATTCACTCAAAATCCGTCGACTTCTAGTATAAATTTGCCAATCTTGTTTGGAAATATGCAATTAAGTGATCAAAGCAGTGTTCATCAACCATCAGTTGAGCCAATACGACGTATTTCTAATCAATCACACACATCACTTGCTCCTTTTCAAAATGTTCATCTTCAAAATAGTCACGGAAATTATGTTGATATTGATGCAATTGATTCAATCTTATCAGAAAACGACAATTTCCATCACTTTGCTGCTACAAATCAGTATGAAAGAAATTCAAGTGAAAATCGTATGCAATCAATGGTGGACATAGGCATGACATCACCAATCTATGAAAATCAACCAACAGGAGTCAACCGATCTGAGTCGCCGATTTATAGTAATACTCACAGTCAATCTGGACCGGCATTATATCCAAAGTCACAAAATATCTACTCGAATCTTCCAGCAGTCACTTCTGGTCCATCAACGTCGGGCTATGCTAATATTCAACAACACAATCATGGAGTTCTTGCTACAAGTAAGTTAATCTGACAACAAATAATAAAAAAAATTCAAAATAATTTTTCTTCAGTGCATCAGCAATCAGTAATGCCAGCTGACGAGCTTCCGCTCCCACCTGGATGGTCAGTCGACTACACACTCCGAAACCGAAGAAAATATTACATCGATCACAATACTCAAACAACGCATTGGTCTCATCCATTAGAACGTGAAGGGATGCCGTTGTTTTGGCAGCGTATTGAAAATCAACAAGGCGTTTATTACTACAAGTGATTAAATTTAATTTAATGTTTAAATGACGATTGGTTGTAAATTTTCTCTTTGTTAGTTACATCACAAGACAAGCACAACTTCACCATCCTTACTTGACAGCGTACTACTTGCCATCAGCTCATCAAGCACCACCATTCGTCCCACATCATGAATACTTTTCACCTCAAAGCAGTGCACTCGTTCCAGCTAATCCACTGTTAAACGTTGAGGTTCCAAAGTGGATAAGAATCTACTGTCGGTCTTCCAATGAAAAAGATCACATAATTAAATTCGATTTGTTTAAACTAAATCAACTTGTTCATTTCAACGAGATGATAACGAAATTATTTAAAGAGGAAAATCATAACATTGTTCTGAAATACGAGTCGCAAAGAATTGCAATCATATACGAGATGGAAAAGCGAAAACGAGGACAACGTCAACAACACTTTATGTATCTTGAAAAGCTTAACACTGATTCATCTGTTTAAGAAATTCTTTTATTATCATCAAATATTCATTTTAACGCGTAAAATTTGTGATAATAATTAAGTTCCTTTTTTTATAAAATATCTACATAAATTAATGTGCCTTGCAAATTATAAAGAAAACTATTCATTCAAACTAACGTTGTTTTCTTGTTCTACCTTAACTTCTGTAACTAAATCATTTTCATCAATATGGTCAAATATTTTAGTATTGTCAACTTCATAAGTATCTTTCAACGATAAACCAGAAAATGAATAAACTTTTGCATGTTCCATACCAAACATTCTCGAGAATTGTACAGCTATAATAAAAATAGATCGTCATTGGTTGTTGGAGTGCTACTTATGGTTACTTACCTGGTCTAGAATTATCTGTTTCTACTCCATGATGTTTGGCCCAATCAGCTTTTCCATTGTAAATTTGATAACACACGAATCCAAAAGCATTCCATGCTAAAAATCCATATGCTAAACTCAAATTACGCTTCCATCTATATGCAACGTTATGTTCAATTGGTTTTGTGTTTCTACGTAAGAACCTCCGAACAAATCCAAACATAATTTCTTAATATTTGGACTTTTCTTTATTTTTGTTCTTATTTTTTCTTACGACAATAACAAACAATATAAAATCGATGTGATTTGCAAGAATGATTTTTTTACTTCTACTTTAACTACCGATGTAACCTCTTATTACAAAACGTTATAGACTTGTGAAGTTATATGCCCCTGGCTCAAAATTTGTGGTGAAAAATATTTGAGAGAGAAAAATGCTATAAAAGCAGCTGAGAGAAAGTAAAATCTGACCACTTTTGCTGTAATCGTCGGGAAGTAAAAACGTACAGTTTTAAAATCGTACAGTGAGTCATCACCAGGAAATTTCTAGAAATTCCTGGAATTATAAAGTTAAAACGCAAAAGTGTGAATCAATAAAATCTTTCAAAGTTATTCGAAAGCAGGTGTGTTTAAAGTGCATTATCTTCAAATCTAAAACCATCTATAGCAAATATTTAGCATTGAAAAAATAAGTTTATTCATTTAATAAAACCAAAATGGTGTCTTCACAAAAACGTTCAGAAAACGTTTCCGTTTCAACTTACTTCAGAACAGAAGCACTGAATGAATGGATCAAGAACATTAGATCTAAGAAAATTTTTAAGAAAAGACAATCAAAAGGCCAAGATTTAAGGGCTATTGCAATCTTAACCCACACTTTACTTGAAAATCAAAAAGTGTTACGTCAAAAACAGAAAGAAAGGTCACAAAGATGGACGGAGCTTAAAAAGACTCTAGAAAATGGCCATAATAATGAAAATTGTGAATTTTCTTCGAAAAGTGATTTAACAAAAGCAAAAGAAGATGAACAAAAGAAAAATGAGATCAAGGCTTTGTGGAAGGAAGAACTAGACGATATAGATAATTTTATTAACGATCTCAATTCAATTAAAACAACATTAGTTAGATAATTATTTCTTCAAGTGTTTAAGAAACATCGAAATCTTACCCTGATGATTCAAAATTGAGAAAATTCTGTAAATGGGATCGTATAAAGTTTAGAAAGTTAAAAATTCAAGATGGCGTCGAGTCTTGAATGAACGTTTTTAAACGTAAATACAACATCAATGACGTCATGGAAAAATTTTTTGAGGAAAAAATATCTTTCATACTCTATACGTTACCGTACACATCCACAATAACTTATTTTTGTGTATTCTGTGATACTGTTTATATTATGCAGTTATTTCTTTTTGCAGTTGTGAAGCAACAACGGGCTTAACTTCACTGTGAAGCTGGGCTATTGGTTGATCGGTATTGTATTGTTTTAATTGTTTTTATTACGATTTTCAATACCTTTCATGCTTGCAAGCAACTCTTTAGAATTGAGCTTTAAAGAATAATTCATATTGAATTTTTGACCAATTTATCCCTTACCCAAAAATTTAGATGAAGTCTAGATAATTTGTAGACGTAAAATCTCATTGTTTGTTTATTATCTGATAATGTAAATAAATTTTAAGGCTGATAATAATTTAAAGACTCAAATCTTTTTATTAATAATTTTTTTTCAGACAACTAATTCCTATTCTCATTGCAGTTTCTATATTGATGCACACTAAAATGCAAAGAAGTCGTCTTCAATGATATTCACAACACTTCTTAAGGAGACACATGAAACTATTCAGATACCAATTGATCAAGATCAGGGTGGAATTTAATGCAACCTGCCAGGGTTCAGGAAGCAATTACGCGTAGTTTTGTTGTCACAAAATGTTTTTTTTCTCTTATTTTTTTATTCGAAGCGTCAATATCCCCACATTAAACTTAAGACGGATAGCGATTGATCTGATAAAATGATGCAAGATAAACGGCGAATTATTCAAGATAGGTGTATCTACTTGATATGACTTAACACAATTTTTTTCCACACTTGTCGACGAGAAGTGGCTTTTCTTTCTTTTAGATGTAAAATTGTTATGATGAATGATGTAATGTGCGATCATTAGAGCTGAAGCACTGACTTCTGGAGACAATGCTCGGTAGTAGAAATATTTTTGGAATCTAAAAGAATTTTGTTTCTTAACAGTTAACCCGACCATTGGAAGTATTAAATAATATGCGATTATGAACACAACTTAGATAACTAGAGAAAACGTCTTCAAAGCGAAATACCAATAATTGGTAAAATATCAAATACGATCATACTCCTATTTTTATTTATTTTAGTAAAATGAGGTCAAAACAATTCAATGCGGTTGAAATGTTCGATAATTTTTTCAAGGCGTTGTTGTTAATTTGGAAGACCACGGTAATGTAGAAAATTCAAATGTCACAGAAAATTGTTTTTCCATTATAGAGCTTCTTTGAAACTTGAAATTATATGAAAGCCAGGTCGGCCAAAATGATCAATTTATGAACCTGAGTCTACGACAAACGATAAGTACCCAAATTTCTCTTTACACTCGAAAGTTTTTTAATATTTTAAGGGTAAAACAAACGACAGTCATCTTTTATTTCGTAATCATTTATGTAAGCCAAGTTGTACACATTGATCGAGTAACGTACCTGAGTCTTCAATGAACGATAAGTACCCAAAATTTTTCTTTAAACTCGAAAGTCTTTGAATACTTTAAGGATAAGCGACTGTCACCTTGGTTGTTCTACATGTAATCACTGGCGTATTTAGGAAGAAATTGATTGTGATAAAATCTTTAAAATAGCAGCTTCATCGGTAATTTTTTTTCATAATTACAAAGAGTAGATTTTTGCGAATATTTCCAGAAAATTTTGATAAATCATTATGCACGCGAGTCAACAAATGCTGCTGAAACCTGTTGCCTACACTATAGCTTTTCCATAACCCACCGTATTCTTATTTTATCAAAGGAACGTGATTAGAAGAAGGAACGTGATAAACTTTCAATTAATATTTATAGAACGTGCTACCGGATTTTCAGTTAATTGATGATACATCCAAGAACCGGTAAAATTTTCATTTCGATTTTTAGTATCTTTTGTGAATTCTTCCAGCTATTGCACAAGGCAAAGTTTTTTGAGATCTCTGTATGCGCATCACCAAAACCAAACAATCTTTATTTTAAAATGAAATGTAATTTCCATAACTATGTATGTACATATGAAAATATTTTCAAATTATTTAAAAATGAATTGTAAAGAAAGCTAGGGACTATTGCTAAAAAGATTAGGATAACATGATATGTAATGAAAAGAATTTAAAAGAAAAAATTGAAACAAATTATGGAAGAGATGTCCAAAGAAACAAGAGGTTGCGATCCACGAATGGCGGTTTCCAGGGTGAAGACGATTTGCAATGTTATATCTCCTATCTCGGTGAAGCTTCGACAACTACTTACTGATGTGCACCTTGTATGAGAATTCAGAATGTGTTAACAGCATCGTTAGATGCGCAATGAATGAGAGTTATTGGAATGTTTTACACGGCGTCCGTTGAGTGATATCTTAAATTCTGTCTACCAAAATTATCAAAGTCTGAAGAGGGGATTTCGTTTTGTGCTACTTCATGGCAAATATTTCTATAAACAAAAATTAATTTATTCGTCATCACACGTCACCAAAAATCAATTCGAGATAAATTACCACAGCGAAGATTTTTACACGTCGCGCTTGAATGTTTGGGCAAAGAGTTATAGTTTCTTTTATCGATTCATCATTCAATTCATCATCACTTAAGTCAATTTCAATGCAAGTTCAAGACTGAGAGACTGTTCAAACATAGAGTTATCCTTTGTGATCCTTTTTTCCCGAGTTCATCGTATGATGGTTTCAATCATTGGATTTACGTATTCAATACTCGTAGTTAATTCATCTTGTTGAAGAATAGGCTGAGAAACGTTATTTCTAAAGGGATTATGGCGAATATGTCTACATTTTAGATTTTGATTAGATTAAGAATTTGGCAAGCTCTGAGATGGACGTATCTTGGAGCGAGAAAAGAATTCCAACACAATTTACAAACAGCTAGCAAGCACTTGAAACGGACGGTTTCATTGCGTGAAAAAGTTGTTTGTATATTGCAACGTGGGACATCGGATTGTTAGTACAGCAAGTTTGAAACAAGGTGTTTCAAGTGAGAAAAGTGCTAATGATCACAACGTGGAAGCTGGACCTGGAGGATGGGACATCATAGGTTCAGCAAGTTTTCAACGGAATGTTGAAAGCGAGAAAAGAACCTGGCGGCACACCCCGGGACCTGGAGGACAACAAAGGTTTGTCAAACTTTCAACGGACGGTTGAAAGTGAGAAGAGAACCTTCGGATTCATCACGGAGATTGGAGCACATCAAAGATTCGGCAAACTTTAAACGGACTGTTTAAAGTGAGAAGAGAATCTTTAAATTCGGTAAAACAAATTATCCAGCAAGTTTGATCGGTGAATCAAGCGAGAAGAGGATAATTATATTGGTTGTTTGTTCTTATTCCGTCCCTGTCAGTTATTTTGTCACGTTAGGAAGTCTTTCATGGAAACGGTTATGAATATCCTTAGTTGCAGTGTCGTTGTTCATCTACTCATCTTTCCCGAGCTCTTTTTCAAAAGCAAGCTTTATCAAAACTTACAAATTACTTCTTCAAAAAATACATTATTCAAACTACTACATTCAAAACAGGGACCACCTTTAGTAACCGATGTTAATTTTAAAAGGAAACAGAAGAAAAAATTTCATAACACATTTGATATCAAGTTCATATTTATCTTCATTGTCTATGTCTACATCATAAGTAAACGGAAAAAAATTGAGAAAATGCATGAAAATTAGGATGGAGCGTTTAGAAGTCAAAATCAAGAAGTTTAACGGAAACACATTTTATGTCAATTGCGGAGAATATAAATTTAATTTACCTTTCGGGATTCTTATTTTCAACAATTTCAAATTCGGTACGATGTCATCATTAAATAGATTTCTGATTAAGACGATGAAACGTTTATGGACTTACTGGGTACGTGGGGTTGAACAAGTTATCATCATTCAACAATGGGCAATCGTCTTACAAATTCTCAAATAATTATTTGAATAATAAAATCTGAATCTAGTTTCATTGTGTTCTTCGTTTTAAACTGCATCAAAGTGAATAAAGTTATTAAAGTGAAAAAAATATTTCTTTCATCTCTTTTTTTAAATTTTATTAAATTATTTTTCAGCCAACTCGTCAACATGAAAAAATCTTTCAGTTAAACTAAAAATTGCACTCAATTCAAGTGTCTAAATATTTGGGACTAACTAATATTGAAGCAATCATGACAAAGCTTATTCTGCAATCCATATTTCATAATCTGACATGATGTTTTGAAATCATAACCGGAGTACAACCGAGTGCGTAAACATTTTTAATTTCTTCCCTCCATGAGGTGATGAATCGATTTGTTTAACATTAATTGAAGAATTCATTTAACTTTCTTTCATTGATGGTGATGTTAATCCAACAATCAGTTATTACTTTTCAAATCATTTTCATTTTACTTATGACCTTAATATTCGCAATGAAATCATTCAGCATTACATGCTTTGCTTGCATAATCTCACCTTTTAATATTTAGCTTGAATTTTCTTTTCCATGTTGCAAGCTGAAGACTGATCATTTCTCTCTTTCACCTTACGTCTTCTCGTTTCCCTGATTTAATTAAGAAATTAACTCATTTATTCTGAAATTTATGCTGCTATCAAATCATGAATCATAAATCTTGATCTTCTTGTTTAGAGATCATTGACTATCAATGAATAAATGTCAAAGACACTTCCATTTCTATTGATCCACTGAACAATTTCTTTTTACTGACATATTTTCCCACACCTTACAGACTAACTTGATTACATGTAATCATACGTAATAATTGATTAAATATTCGTAAATAACCAGTTTACTTGATGTTTATGCACATACTCAGTGACTCCTCAAGTTAAAAAGTTCATCGTAATAGGTAATTAACTTTCAAACAATTCATTTAACTTCTAAACATAAAGCATTTAATTTAATATCACTAATTTCACATGAACTTGACTAATCAACTCTCATCTCAAATCATATTTGTCAAGGTTTGAATATTTCCAAAATACCAGCAGAGGTTAAATTTATAGCAAATTTAGCAAAACTAAAAGACCTCAAACGTCAAATTTAGATTTTTACTTTCTCAAAGTTTTTGATCGAAGGAAAGAGATTTATTTAACAGGGACGATTTGATTTAAGTTTATGAGAGTAAAATATTTTTTTGACATCGAGTAAATCATTTTAAGGATGCTGTTAAATTGTAATGACTTCAAAAAGAGAACAAAACTAAACTATCGAGATAATTCACGATTGGAGCGTTTTAAAAAATCGATTTGACTCAAATGAACAACAATCATTGTTGGGTAAATGTCGACTTAAAATTCACTCTCAAATAATAATTCATTTCATCGGTTTCTTTGCGTAAGCCCACGAAAGGCCAAATTTAATTATTGCGTCTTTAAATTTGGTGTAAAATTTGCTCCAATTATTGAATTGGTACAAAATATTGAGGTATGCACCGTTGTTATTAGTCATCAATTGATTGCAAAAACCCAAAAAAAAGTCTTAATAAAAGAAGACGATTATTCAACAGCAATTATCTAAATTAAAGAAATTTTCATATAAAGCGATATAATTGAGAGTTGAATGAATTTTTGCACTAATTATGTTGAATTTTTGAATCACCAATTACATTAAAAACACCACTGACTTACTTAAAACTTAAAAGTCATACCGCAGAGATTAATTTAATTTTCATTGTGCAAAATGCAATTTTTGTTTTATCTTTTTGTCCAATTAGTTTGTATCATCTATGGCGATTGCTTTTCTGATAGCTTGCGAAATCACCTACAGATTATCTGACACAATCAATATTGCAGTTAAATACATAATGTAGGTTTAATGACCCATTCCATCATAGGTGAAAGATTCATAAATCTTAAGTAATCACGTACAAAAACAATACCATGTATCTATCATAATTTGTTACACTTAAAAACATTACAATAAATAATAATTTGCGAAAAAGTAGCAAAAAGATACAAATAGATTTCTATTCTTTAACTTAATAGAAGAATTGCCACAAAACCTTATTTCAAAGTTTCGTTGTCGCGATTGTTGGTTTCTAGTTTTATTGTTGCAACATATATTAATAATGACGATGAAAACATGAGATTTTTGTCTTTTGTTTGACATACATACAAGTAGATAGAAAGATATACACGAGTGAACTACATAAATAATCAAATTTGTATCTTTTTACCTGACAACAAGACGACCGACCTGATTTAGATGTTTTGAACTTTCAATGAAACTTGACAAGTTATTTAATCATAAATGAATATATTCAACAATACCATTTTTGGATTACAATAGAGTCGAGAATTGGAGTAAAAGAACTGCTTACACCTGATATATCCACATTGAATGCACTCATTAAATACTTCACAGTCACAGTTATCAATTATAATCTTATTGCAAGCCATCGTCACGGTTTAAATTGTCTAAGTAAAATCACATTTTCTCGCCACTTCGAATGAATATTAGAGAAATGTAAATTGCTCAAAATATTTTTATAATTTGACAGACTATGTAAAATTTATTGTGAAAGGTAAGTGACTGCTTATTGTTTGAAATGTCAACAGGAACGTAGAAAGAACATTTTGACAGGAAATCTTTTTTATCAATAGTTGTACAAGCTAATAGCCTTTAGACACTGTTGATAGTCACAGTGGCTGCTACCACTCAATGCCCACTTCTTAACTAATTCAAGCTTAATAACAGATTTAAAGTTTTAATTAACTTAAACATATATCTGATACATGTAATATCTGGTTATATATTTAATGAACCCCACACTCGTCGTCTTATACGTATCTATTCGCGTAATATTTAATTCAATACGTTGCCTGGCTGGCTGTAGTGTTTCAACAACATGACTTAGTATGTGTTACAATTATTTTGGAGGGAAAGTGTTTTTCTCTAAATGCAGAATTGTACAATACAAAAACACACGAAAAACATAAAAATAAAATACAAAAATTAGCTTCTTTTCTGGTGGTTGGTATAAAAGGTAACGAAAGCGAAAGATACATCATCAGTTTTTCATTAACCACCCAGCATTTCAATCAATCAGAAAACAAGAGATTTAAACGGCCGGTTTATTTTTATTGCTGCTTTAGTGGATTATAAGAAATTTAAACATGAAATTTTTGGTAAGAAGTTCAAAGCATGCTTTTGCAGTGCAATTATTTGCTTAAATTTTTAAATGAAAGTGAATTCAAACAAGGACTTGTGAACTTTGAAGCCTAAAATAGAAGAAAAAATTTTGTTTCTCTTCTTGAAACGAACCCAAAAATAAAATAAAAATCATGCTTTAAACGTGATTATTTAATAACTTAACTCACATAGAAAAGACGTTTATAAAGATTGAAAAGTTTACAACTGAAATTAAGAGAAAAACAATTAAGAGATTCGTGAAACTTACAAGTTTTAATAGTTCCAAATAAGCGATTAAATTATCGTTGCAATAAAAAAAAGATTTTTGAGGGAAATCACACATATGTGCATAATCATAATTTCGAAAGTGAATTCATATTTTTTTAATTGGTCTGCAGATGAAGTTACATAGTTGAATTAATTAATTATTGAAGAATATTACTTAATTGAAGCAATTAATTTTGGTATAATGAGGAAGCTGTCGCTTTCGGCTCATGATTTCGACTTAAGTTAATTATTTCAATTGAAAACCTTTCAGGGCGTAGCATGTCTGCTTGCTCTTGCTGTGCTGTCAAGTGCTGAAGAAGAGAAAAAAGTACCCGAAGAAACAAAAGTTGAGGAAACTAAAGCCGAGCCATTAGCTGATAAGAAACAAGACAAACGTGGAATTCATTCTTTCGGTGACTGGTCATCATCTCATGATCATGGACATCATGAAGAAAAGGTTTTGACCGTCATCAAGAAGGTGCCAGTTCCAGTACCACATGTTAAAACTGTTCATGTTCCCCATTACAAGGAAGTCCATGTTCCTTATCACGTCAAAGTTCCAAAACCATATCCAGTTGTCAAGCATGTAAAATGAATGAAAATCTAGATCAATTCACCAATAATTAATACTTAAATCGACTTTCTCAGGTTCCTTATGAAGTCAAACAAGTCGTTAAAGTTCCAGTACATGTCGACAAACCTTACCCTGTTGAGAAGGTTGTTCACTACCCAGTACATGTCAAAGTAGAGAAACCAGTTCCTTATGAAGTCAAGGGTTAGTAAATTTAGCATTTCTTATTTTTTGGCAGAGATGGGCAAATGTTCCGTTCAACTCGATTGACTGACTGACTGACATGTCAATGTCTGTCAGCCAGTCAGTCAGTCAGTCAAAATCGCGAACAAAAATATTCGTTTGTTGGGAAACGTTCATATAAATGTTCCGCTCAAGTCGTTTGACTGACAGACTGACAAGTCAATGTCTGTCAGTCAGTCAGTCAAATCCCAACTCTGTTTTTTGGAAAGCGAGGTCAATTTTGAAAGAAGATCATTTGAAGTTTTTATTACCTTCAAACATGATTAATTTTTTAATTTTCTATTATTTTTTTCAACAGTTCCAAAACCATACCCAGTTGTAAAAGAAGTCAAAGTACCAGTTGAAGTTAAAGTACCAAAGCCTTATCCAGTTGAAAAAGTAATAAAATTAATTTGTTACAACTCGATTATTTTTATTCTTTCGTCATCTACAGACTGTCCACTTTCCAGTTGAAAAGATCGTTCATGTTGACAAACCTTATCCAGTTGAAAAGGTTCAACATTATCCAGTGCATGTGAAGGTTGACCGTCCAGTTCCATATCACGTTGATAAACCCTATCCAGTTTATCACGAAAAGAAAGTTCCAGTACCTGTTTACAAGGAAGTGAAGGTTCCACATCACGTGCATGTTGATCGACCAGTCCCAGTATACAAGGAAAAGAAAGTCGAAGTCCCAATAAAGGTTCCTTACCCCGTCCCATACCCAGTCCACAAAGAAGTCCCAGTACCAGTCTACAAGGAAGTTAAATACCCAGTCCATGTTCCCGTTGAACGACCAGTCCCAATCACACTCGAGAAGCACGTCCCACATGTCGTGACAAAGTCAAAGCCTTACAAGATCGAAGTTCCAACACACCATGGTCACAGTGGCGGCGGAGGTGATGGTGGATACAGCAGCGGAGGTAGTGGACATGGAGGTGATGGCGGATACAGCAGTGGAGGTAGTGGACATGGAGGTGACTTCGGATTCAGCAGCGGTGGTGGCGGACATGGAGGTGATGGTGGTTACAGCAGCGGTGGTAGCGGACATGGAGGTGATGGTGGTTACAGCAGTGGAGGTGGACATGAAGGACTCTCTGGAGGATATTAAACTGTGATTACGTCTACTATTAATATCTACTAAATATCACATAACTTGTTACCTATTAAACATATGCGCGCATGTGTCACTCTAAATGCTGTGTTAGCTCATTCTAAGAGCCCTTTTAAGAAACATTAATCGTTTCTTCATGCTGTTGTAAACTAAGATGCTATTTGGTATAAAACGAAGAATGAAAAATAAAGGAACGAAACTTTTCCTTTCCCAGTCAGGTTTCATTTAAAATAAATAACGGAAATTTTTTGCTTTATAGATTATTATGTAATCCAAGATAATCATAATCGTAATTGAGTGAGTGAGTGCATTTATAAGCATAATTACACAACTACTTCATATCTGTTTTGATTTCATCTTTTCAAACACCACATATAACAGACAACGAGTAAAACATGAGATTGACTACGACAGACGGCTTCATGGCGCTTGAATGTGAAGAAAAAAGAAAAAGAAAATGCTTTATTTTACTCAATTTTTTCGTGCGCATTTCACGGTTTACGAAATGACTTGCATCGTCATGGTATTGAATTGTGCTACTGCTCGTTAATAAATACCGTTTAATTGGCATGAAAATCAAAGACAATCCTCTAATGCGCTAATGTTTCTAACATTTAATGAGCGTCACGATTATGATTTCATGAATGAAGTAATTTTGAGATTGAAAGTGTTTGCATTGGCATTGAAATAATTGAAACATCTTGATTGATTAACAAGTGTTGGGCTACTTTGTTATGATGTGAATCTTTATTTTGACTGCTGTGCTGTTTTGACTGGTTTAAAGAGAAATAATTACATTTCTATTTATTATCAAGATCATGGAATATTCCACTTTCTTATAAGCTTTTGACCACTGGCAACATAAATAACATCAAATTAAGATTGAGCATTAAAAAGTATTATGCAAACGTGAGTGCAATTGAATTATGTTCACCACAATTTTTATTCTTGTTTCAATATAAACATTATATCACTTTTTATTTCACTTTTAAATGTGGAATAATCGTCGATAAAAAATCATAATTAAGATACATTAAGCAATGAATATGTCATTTAATGATCGTCTCCTTTATTGCTACCTTTTTAAATACTTTTTGTTCAATACAAACCCAACAATCAACCTTTTTTCAATCGAAGGAGAATAACTTATTAACTAACACGTGATTAATGGTAACACTCATTAGAGATTGTTTCAAACAAAATTGAAACATAATTGCTTGTCTTATAAGGCTAAAAGCTTATGAAAAGTGAAAAAATGTAATGAAGTGAATGTTCATGAACAATTACCTAGTTAAAATTTTAAAGGACGATGAGTGACTTAAAAGCTGAAGATATTTAATAAATCTAAACAGATGAAACAAAAATTCATGTCGAGCGCTTAAATAATTTATTTTTTAAGATTTTTTTTTTAATACAAATTACTACTTAAAAATGTTTTCAAAGAAAATTGTCAATCAGTCTATGCACAATCTTTTCAAGTGACTTTTTTGAAGCACAAAAATTGATGATTTTTCCATGCAAATTGATCAATGATCAACACTAAAATCATCAAGTAATCGTTAAAGTTGCAATTGTTTACATTCTTCAATACGACTTAAAAGTTAAGATTATTAATTATCAAATTCTAAACATAGAATATCGAAAAACGTAGTTTACTATAAAATAATTGGAATCAAATGCTATAAGTGATGCTAATTACATTTCCATTTGAGAATTTGAGTCTTCAGAAAACAGAAATTTATCAGAACTATTCTGGAACTGAATTTCTGAAAAGCTGAAACCTAAAGATGTAAAGGAAAAATATGTGAATTAGTACAATAATCTTATTCAGTGATTCATTTGATAAAACTTGCAAGTATTTGAGTCCTCGTCGGTACGGGTAATTTTCGAATTTTCTTTGTCGTTCATTGAGCTTTGGCTCGAATCAATTTGCTTGAGATTTTTCTTCGTTTGTTCATTTCCATTAACTGGAACCCATTTATATATTTTCATTGTTGTATCACAAATTGTCACCCATTTTTTCTCCCTGAAATGATTTATTATTTAGTATATTTTTGATAATACAATCGGAAGAATTAAATATTCACCATTTTCGGGGAGCGTATAAATTAGATACGTGATGTTTCTTCTCGTCCTTTGCCCTCTGCCTAGTTTCTGCCCTCACACTTCGAGACATTCTAATTGTTTGATAGAAATTTAAAAAGTGTTGCTTTTCTAACTTTTGTTTAATTTAAAATTTTCTATGCAAGTAAATTCAATTGTTTACATGAAAATGAAAGTTTTCGATGCTGTCAAAGATTTTTTATCGACAGATCGAAATTCACTCGTTCAAAAACAAAATGACCGTTAATTTTTGTCTAGTTGTTAAGCCAAGGTTTACGTTTATTATTTTTGACGATGAATCAATTTTCATTAACAAATATTATAGTCCATTATAATCCACTTTCTACATCTATGATTTCAGTTTATTGAAATTCAGTTTTACTTCGAAAATAAATTCCAGTAAAAGGAAACTATGTCTTGTAAGTGTATTAGCTTTTGCAGAGATTTCAGTTTAGCGCATTAATTTTCATTCCAGATTTTTCTTTTTTATTCTTTTCGGATCTGACGTTATTCACTATACGGTACGACGTCTTTTATGTTTATTTTCTTAACAAAATAATAATGAACAATTAAATTTGTCTACCAAATTTAATTTCCGGGTTTGATTGCTTTTGTTAATATGTACATCAGATTGAACTTTAAAACTTGAATTTCACCATCCGTTTTTTTATTTATAATTCTATCATGGCATATCTTTAAAATTTAATCATTAAAGTACAATATGAAATAAAATCTTATCAATGTGCTGATAACCCACTGCAACGTTCGGTTGAATTTCACATAATAAAATATTTGCAGCAAATTTTATTATAAAAGCATCGCGCGAACAGCATTCATTCATCATTCAATCCTTTTTACTGAAAGTAAAGTTTCAAAAAAATTTAAAGCATTCATAATGTAAATATAATTTTTTAAGTTTTCTTCAATTTAAATTGCATTTATAACATTTTTAGGAAAAACGCCTTTGCAATAATTTTGTTGCTGTTCGTTGTGGTTAATATTCTCCAGTTTTCCGAATCAGCAGAAATCATTTGTGACTTTCGTATAACCGGATTTCTAATGGGTGGTTCAATTGGATGGAAGGAACTCTATATTTGTTTGGGGTCACTTCCAAGAGATGAAGATGTTGCTAACATCACGGGCATTAATGGAGAACATTTGGGCAGTAGAACTCATTCAGACGTTGAAGCTATTCGATTAACAGATGATTGGTTGACCGAAGTACCATCCGGCATTGACAACTATTTTCCAAACATTGAATTCTTATATATCAGGGAAACTCAACTAAAAACAGTCAATTCGAATCAACTGCAACAATTCCCTAATTTGGAGTATTTGTGGCTACATAAAAATCAGATCGAAACCATTGAAGTGAACGCATTCTCTCGTACGCCATCATTACGTGTGATCGCTTTACATTCTAATAAAATTAAGTCAATCCCATACAACGCCTTTCGACCTCTGCATTTGGAGGTTTTGCAAATGAGAAACAACATTTGCATCAATGATTCAGCAGATACAGAACAAAATGTGAACAGATTAATTGTAGTTGCAGATCTTTTGTGTTCACCTTTGGGTGATATGATTGATGAAGATTTGAGGGTTCGTATTTATGAATTGTCAAACAATCAGGCTGCTTTTGAATACAATTTGAGAGATTTACGTGATCAAGTCGCAACTATGGAAGAGAGAATGCATGAATTGGAAAATATATTGAAGCTTGTGAAAACTCATGTTAATAAATAAAAAAGCTTTTTGATAATACTAGTTATGTATGAAACATAACTTACAGACATTTATTAATCACTTCTATAACTCAAAAAACTTATACAATTTATTATTATACATTATTATTAATTAAGTTTTAGGCTTCCTATTTTTATAATTTCGAAATTAAATTTGTTTTGAAATGTGACATCATTTTTATTTACATTATCAAATCTTGACTATGGAAGAAAGAATTTGGAATCGAATTAAAATAATATTCAAACGGAATTTGTAGCATTTGATTATTATGAAAATAAAGCTGGTGTAGGTAAAACTTAAAGTGACAACCTAGTTTCTTTCTTCATTCACCTTAAAGTTCCTTTTCTTGTTTTTATTTTATTCTGTCTACCTAGTTTGAAGTTTTAAACCAAAAAAATTAAATTTTTTATTGAGAAAAATGACTTTATTAATTACGAAATGTTTTTCAAGAAAAGTTCAACTGATATTGTATTTCCCATTTTAAAGTTAAGCTTTTAATGAATCTTTGATTAAAAATTAATTACCGAGATTTCCACGTAAATGACGTCAGCACGGAATTTAAAGCAAAATTGAATTACACCATTCAGTGATTTTCACCATAATGTCAAAAATTAAGAATATCCTTTTAAGCTTTTAATTACGTTAAAAAGAATAAATAATCTTATCAGTACACAGCTTAATCTACAGTAGGATTTCAATAATACATTTTTCTATAAAAGTTTGAACCATAAAAATGCGTCCAACATTTTCCATTGTAATTTCAAAGTGAAACTTCGAATTATTGAAAATGTGAGCATTTTTTCATTCATTGAGTTTAGTTTTAATAAAAACATCTTTTAGGATGAACATTTTTGCTGTAACTTTGCTACTGTTTACAGTGGCCAATGTTTTCCAGTCATCCGAATCGATGGAACTTAATTGCAAGTTTCAGATTTATGGATATTTCATAAGTATTCCGATAGGATGGAAGATTTTTTATACTTGCTATGGAGAACTCTCCAATGAGAGAAATAGTACAATAATCACAGAAGTTCATGGTGATCACTTATCAGGGAGAAATAATTCGGACGTTACTGGTATCATCTTAGAAAAAGAAACTTTGTTAACTTCAATACCACTCAATTTTGATAAATTTTTCCCAAACATTAACATTCTTTACATGGTTGATACTAAGACGAGCACAATCAGGGCTTCACAATTGCTGCAGTTTCCAAATTTAATGTATCTGTTGCTGAGTTATAATGAAATTGAAACCATTGAAGTAAACGCGTTCTCTAGCACACCATCACTGCAAGGAATTCATTTGAATTCAAATAAAATTAAGTCAATCCCATATAATGCCTTTCGACCTTTGCATTTGGAAGTTTTGCAAATGAACAACAACATTTGCATTAACGATTCAGCAGATACAGTACAAAACGTCAACAGATTAATTGTAGTTGCAGATCTTTTGTGTTCACCTTTGGGTGATATGATTGATGAAGATTTGAGGGTTCGCATTTATGAATTGTCAAACAGTCAGGTTGCTTTTGAATATAGTTTGAAGGATTTACGTGATCAAGTCTCGACTATGGAAGAGAGAATGCAGGAATTGGAAAATATATTGAAGCTTGTGAAAACTCATGTTAATAAATGAAAAAGCTTTTGTGACAGATATCAAACATAACAACAAATAATTAATGACTTCTATAACTCAATAAACTTTGAAATTATATCTTTTAAAGCTCTTTTTTTTGATAAGACTGTCGTATATCTTTTAAAGCTATACATAAGTTAGAATGAAAGTAAATATTCTTATCTATTCCAACTAAATATTTTTTTACGTTAACTGATTGAGAGCTAAGCATTTTTGATTGAAAAGGCTTAAGCGAACAACATGCACTTATCATTCTGAGTTTGCAATTCAAAAGTGAAACTTGATGAACCTGTTCATAATGTGAATATATTTTATAAGTTTTCTTCATTTTAATTTCATTTTAAAATATCTTACAGGAAGAACGTCTTCGCTTTACCTCTTTTGCTGTCTATTTGGCTTAACATTTTCAAATTTTCTGAATCTATAGAAACCATTTGCAAGTTTGATTATGTTGGATTTTTCATGAGAGGTTCGAATCCTTGGAAGAACTTTTACATTTGCTTTGGATATCTTCCAAAAGATGAAAATATCTCAAGGATAACTGGTATTGGTGGAGAAAACATGGGTAGTAGAACGAATGTAAATGTTACTGCACTTTATTTTAGTGATCATTATTTAAGTGAAATATCTCTCGGCTTTGACAACTTTCTTCCAAACATTGAATTTTTTTCTATGAGAGGTACTCAGTTAAAAACTGTGAATTTGGTTTCACTCCAGCAATTCCCTAACATGAAATATTTGTGGCTACATGAAAATGAAATCGAAACTATTGAAGTGAACGCGTTCTCTCACACGCCATCATTGGAAGTTATTAATTTAAGTACCAATCATCTAAAGTCAATTCCATACAACATCTTTCAACCATTTCGTTTGATAGTTTTGCAAATGAGGGAAAATGAATGCATTGACGAATCAGCAGATTCGCCTCAAACAGTGAACCGATTAATTGCAAAGATAGATATTTTATGTTCACCATTAGGTGATACCATTCAAACTTTGAAACGTCTTCATGATGAGATAATGCCAAAACAAAATGACTTGGAGGAAACAGTCATAAATTTGCAAGAAGATTTTAAAATAATGAATGATAAAGTTTTAGAAATGGAAGGAGATGTGCCAGATTTGCTATTGATAGATCCAAATTTGATTGAAGATTTAGAAAATTTGAAGAATGAGATGGATGAAGAACATGAGAATGTTAATAAAAGAATAAATTCTATGGAAGAAATAGTCAATAAAATTGCAATACCTCTAAATAAAGGCAGCATAACACGAGATTATTGTTCTCGAAGGAGTGAAGGCTAACTCAAAGAAATGTTTTATATTTTTTCTGAACTGTTAAGATTTTATTTGATTGCTGCTTCGTCTATTTCTGTTTAACATTTCCTGAAAAGCTATGATGGATAAATAATAAAAATGCAAAAGAAATTCTTATTTATATGCAATTTTCAGTGTTAAAATTTTCCTGAGAATTTGAAAAAAAAATTTCTTAAAGAATTCGCTCAAAAGTTATAGGAGTGGTGGTAAAAAAATTGAGGTTTTCCATTGTTGACTAAACACTTTTGTTATGACAGNATTCAAACCTCGAAACATATTAATGATGAGATAATGCCAAAACAAAATGACTTGGTTAAAGCAATAACAGATTTGCAAGTAGAAACNAGTTCAATTGGATGGGAGAACTTCTACACTTGCTCAGGATCATTTATAAGAGATGAAAGTATTACTGAAATTACGGGAATTGATGGAGAACATATGGGCAGCAGAACTAATTCAAATGTTACTGCTATTCGATTAACCGATAACTGGTTGACTGAAGTACCATCTGGCTTTGACAACTTTTTCTCAAACATAGAATTCCTCTATATGATAAACACCCAACTAGTGACTGTCAATTCGAATCAAATACAACAATTTCCTAATTTGGAGTATTTGTGGTTAGAAAACAATCAAATCGAGAACATTGAAGTGTATGCATTCTCTCTCACGCCATTATTGCGTCATATTGATTTGCAATATAATGATATTACTTCAATTCCATATAACACTTTTCAACATTTGCATTTGGAAGTTTTGAAAATGAAGGGAAATGTTTGCGTTAACGAATCAGCAGAAACATCTCAAAATGTGAACACGTTGATTGCCAATGTAGAAATTTCATGTTCACCATTAGGTCCTTTAATTGAAGAAATATCGAGTGAATTATTGAACAATACTTCTGCAAACCTTGATACAATTGGTGCAAACCTTGGTATAATTGATAGCTTCAATGAATCTGTGGTAGAGTTGAAAAATGACAGCGAAAATCTGAAGAAAAGCTTAACAGATTTAGAAGAAATTATATCAAATTTAAAGGTTTTGGAAGATACTGTTCGAAATTTTACAAGTGAAATAACTGGAAAATATTCAAATGCGAACAAAACACTTGCAATGTTGGAAGATTTATTGGACTCAATAGCATCAATTAAAGACCCACAAAATAGAAAAAGGAGAAGTTATTATTGAGTTAACAATTTGAAGTTGAATCAAACAAGTCCGGTCACTGTTTAAATAATTATTTTAAAAAAAATTAACATGAAGAATAAACAGGTGATGTCTATGGTATAATCCTTAGTTTATCACTGATCTGTGTTTTTGTGACTTTGAACATTTCAAGTAGGTATATTGATAATATTGAAACGTTCATTTGCAAAAAGTGAATCTATAAAATCTAATATTAACAGAATTATATCAGAAATCGTTGGATTTCCACAAGTACGTCTTATCAGGAGCGAAGTCATATATCTTTTAAAAGTCATGAATAGCTACATAAGCTCAGAACGAAAATAAAAATTCGATATGTAATAAATTACCTAAATACTCATTTTGCACCTTAAATTGAAAGTGTGGTAAATTTCTGATATAAAAGTTTGAACGAACAACATTCAATCAGCATTTTGAGTCTGTGCTTCATAAGTGGAACTGGGTGAACCTGTTCATAATGTGAATATATTTAAGTTTTCTTCAATTCAATTTGTATTTATTTATACTATTTTTCAGGAAAAACGTCTTCCCTATAATTTTGTTGCTGTTTATTTCGGTTTTTATTTTACATTTTTCCAAATCTGTAGAAATCACTTGCAAGTTTGAATATCTTGGATTTCGAATAAGTAGTTCAATTGGATGGGAGAACTTCTACACTTGCTCAGGATCATTTATAAGAGATGAAAGTATTACTGAAATTACGGGAATTGATGGAGAACATATGGGCAGCAGAACTAATTCAAATGTTACTGCTATTCGATTAACCGATAACTGGTTGACTGAAGTACCATCTGGCTTTGACAACTTTTTCTCAAACATAGAATTCCTCTATATGATAAACACCCAACTAGTGACTGTCAATTCGAATCAAATACAACAATTTCCTAATTTGGAGTATTTGTGGTTAGAAAACAATCAAATCGAGAACATTGAAGTGTATGCATTCTCTCTCACGCCATTATTGCGTCATATTGATTTGCAATATAATGATATTACTTCAATTCCATATAACACTTTTCAACATTTGCATTTGGAAGTTTTGAAAATGAAGGGAAATGTTTGCGTTAACGAATCAGCAGAAACATCTCAAAATGTAAACACGTTGATTGCCAATGTAGAAATTTCATGTTCACCATTAGGTCCTTTAATTGAAGAAATATCGAGTGAATTATTGAACAATACTTCTGCAAACCTTGATACAATTGGTGCAAACCTTGGTATAATTGATAGCTTCAATGAATCTGTGGTAGAGTTGAAAAATGACAGCGAAAATCTGAAGAAAAGCTTAACAGATTTAGAAGAAATTATATCAAATTTAAAGGTTTTGGAAGATACTGTTCGAAATTTTACAAGTGAAATAACTGGAAAATATTCAAATGCGAACAAAACACTTGCAATGTTGGAAGATTTATTGGACTCAATAGCATCAATTAAAGACCCACAAAATAGAAAAAGGAGAAGTTATTATTGAGTTAACAATTTGAAGTTGAATCAAACAAGTCCGGTCACTGTTTAAATAATTATTTTAAAAAAAATTAACATGAAGAATAAACAGGTGATGTGACATGGTATAATTCTTAGTTTATCACTGATCTGCGTTTTTGTGACTTTGAACATTTCAAGTAGGTATATTGATAATATTGAAACGTTCATTTGCAAAAAGTGAATCTATAAAATCTAATATTAACAGAATTATATCAGAAATCGTTGGATTTCCACAAGTACGTCTTATCAGGAGCGAAGTCATATATCTTTTAAAAGTCATGAATAGCTACATAAGCTCAGAACGAAAATAAAAATTCGATATGTAATAAATTACCTAAATACTCATTTTGCACCTTAAATTGAAAGTGTGGTAAATTTCTGATATAAAAGTTTGAACGAACAACATTCAATCAGCATTTTGAGTCTGTGCTTCATAAGTGGAACTGGGTGAACCTGTTCATAATGTGAATATATTTAAGTTTTCTTCAATTCAATTTGTATTTATTTATACTATTTTTCAGGAAAAACGTCTTCCCTATAATTTTGTTGCTGTTTATTTCGGTTTTTATTTTACATTTTTCCAAATCTGTAGAAATCACTTGCAAGTTTGAATATCTTGGATTTCGAATAAGTAGTTCAATTGGATGGGAGAACTTCTACACTTGCTCAGGATCATTTATAAGAGATGAAAGTATTACTGAAATTACGGGAATTGATGGAGAACATATGGGCAGCAGAACTAATTCAAATGTTACTGCTATTCGATTAACCGATAACTGGTTGACTGAAGTACCATCTGGCTTTGACAACTTTTTCTCAAACATAGAATTCCTCTATATGATAAACACCCAACTAGTGACTGTCAATTCGAATCAAATACAACAATTTCCTAATTTGGAGTATTTGTGGTTAGAAAACAATCAAATCGAGAACATTGAAGTGTATGCATTCTCTCTCACGCCATTATTGCGTCATATTGATTTGCAATATAATGATATTACTTCAATTCCATATAACACTTTTCAACATTTGCATTTGGAAGTTTTGAAAATGAAGGGAAATGTTTGCGTTAACGAATCAGCAGAAACATCTCAAAATGTGAACACGTTGATTGCCAATGTAGAAATTTCATGTTCACCATTAGGTCCTTTAATTGAAGAAATATCGAGTGAATTATTGAACAATACTTCTGCAAACCTTGATACAATTGGTGCAAACCTTGGTATAATTGATAGCTTCAATGAATCTGTGGTAGAGTTGAAAAATGACAGCGAAAATCTGAAGAAAAGCTTAACAGATTTAGAAGAAATTATATCAAATTTAAAGGTTTTGGAAGATACTGTTCGAAATTTTACAAGTGAAATAACTGGAAAATATTCAAATGCGAACAAAACANATGTTGAATCAAACAAGTCCGGTCACTGTTTAAATAATTATTTTAAAAAAAATTAACATGAAGAATAAACAGGTGATGTCTATGGTATAATCCTTAGTTTATCACTGATCTGTGTTTTTGTGACTTTGAACATTTCAAGTAGGTATATTGATAATATTGAAACGTTCATTTGCAAAAAGTGAATCTATAAAATCTAATACAGTGGAACTTCCATAAACCGATACTTCTGTATGCCGATGCCCCCATAAACCATGAAAAAATTTAGTATTGAATACTGTCCTCGATAAACCGATAAACCGAAAAAATTAAAAATCGGTGTCTTCAATTACTCAGTTGCTGAAAATTTAAATTTAACGATTGTTTTAAATATATTTATATCATTTGTAAATAGTGTACGATTAAGACGTGTCAAATGAAATTTTATTTTCGTAATGCCACTTAAAAGTCACAATGTCAAACACCAGGCTCGAACTTTGAGACAAAAGTTGCTAATCGTTGACAAATTGAAGAAATCTGGTGATTCAATTTCAGATGTAATGAAAGAGTTCAACATGAAACAATCTACTGTTTCTACAATAATTGAAAATGAAATAGATCTTACAATAACGAACGACTGCTTAGATGTTCTGGAGGAAAATCTCACCACAATAAGAAGTGTGTCTTCAGAAACTATTTCATTATTTTATGCTTTGAAAAAAAGTTGATTTCAAAATAAATTTGGTGTAGGTATTTTAAAAAAATAATTAAAGTTCTGATTGCAACATATTTTTTTTTGTTTTTCTTTAGAATATCATTATGATCTTATTTTGTCTTTTACTTAAGAGGCATTATATTATCATGTTTAAAAACACTTATAATCTTATCATGTTAAAAATTGTTTCAATAGATATCTACATAAATTTAACGAATTTTTAAATATTAAATGCGATATTTACTCTTCAACACCCTTCAATCCCCTATAAGCCGATATCCTCGATAAGCCGATATTTTTTTGTGTCCCTTGACCCATCGGTTTATGGAAGTTCCACTGTATTAACAGAATTATATCAGAAATCGTTGGATTTCCACAAGTACGTCTTATCAGGAGCAAAATCATATATCTTTTAAAAGTCATGAATAGCAACATAAGCTCGGAACGAAAATAAAAATTCGATATGTAATAAATTAAATACTCATTTTGCACCTTAAATTGAAAGTGTGGTAAATTTCTGATATAAAAGTTTGAACGAACAACATTCAATCAGCATTTTGAGTCTATGCTTCATAAGTGGAACTGGGTGATCCTGTTCATAATGTGAATAGAGTATTGAATCGAATCTGGTGAACGATCGTTTGTGGGTAATATCTAACTTGGACACCCAATTTACTAATTTTTAGGCCTTAAAATTATATTTTTCACCGAAAAAAAAATACGTGTTGGAATTTTTGTTTATAAATTATATTTTAGGCTTCTCACTGGGTCTTTAAATGATTCCAATTTCCCAAAATAATTTATTTCATTTCAACAAAAAAAATTCTCTTACGAAACAGCCATTTTTTCTTCTCGCTTCAAATTTTTATGAGGCGAAAAATGGCATTATTTTAAGTGATTTTATTCAATCAAATACACAGAAAGACAGGAAATTATGTGCAGAAAAGGATTCATGTTACATAATTTCACAATAGTTTGTGTTAATTAAACTATAAAAACATTTGCTCACAAATTTTCATGATCAAATGTGGTCATAACATTTTTGTATGAAGCCGTATTTGAAAATTTAACGGCAAACAAATTTTCAAAAAGTGAGCATCACTAAATTTATTCTAATTATCGATTTAAAACATCAGACTTACATCATAAACATAAATTACAATCAATTGAATGTTGTATCGACTTTACTTTTATTAATTTCCTAGTCTTTTTAATTATTTCAAAACATATAACTTTTTTTTTCAACGTTGTTGCCCAGTTCAAACACTAACCAGAAACGATCGAGCAATGAACCACAATTGATTTCGTATGACCACATTTAAGTGTAAACTTTTCATTCTCGTGTAATGAAAGTTTCTGCCCAATATTTTTTCTATGATAATAAATCAACTCTTGATAAGTTGATTGTTATTTTAAAATCTTAAAAATAAATAAAACGTAATGCAGAAAGAAGTTATTGACTCGCAAAGTCAAAATTTCGATGCATTACCCATTTCAAGATTCGTTACTCTAATAAAAATTTNTATTGCGTCATATTGATTTGCAATATAATAATATTACTTCAATTCCATATAACACTTTTCAACATTTGCATTTGGAAGTTTTGAAAATGAAGGGAAATGTTTGCGTTAACGAATCAGCAGAAACATCTCAAAATGTAAACACGTTGATTGCCAATGTAGAAATTTCATGTTCACCATTAGGTCCTTTAATTGAAGAAATATCGAGTGAATTATTGAACAATACTTCTGCAAACCTTGATACAATTGGTGCAAACCTTGGTATAATTGATAGCTTCAATGAATCTGTGGTAGAGTTGAAAAATGACAGCGAAAATCTGAAGAAAAGCTTAACAGATTTAGAAGAAATTATATCAAATTTAAAGGTTTTGGAAGATACTGTTCGAAATTTTACAAGTGAAATAACTGGAAAATATTCAAATGCGAACATAACACTTACAATGTTGGAAGATTTATTGGAGTCAATAACATTAATTAAAAACCAACAAAATAGAAAAAGTAGAAGTTATTATTAAAAACAAATATTTTGAAGTTTAATCAATTTTTTTCATTCTAGAACTTTCTCTGTTAAAAAAATTTATTTTAATCCAAAAATGTTTGTTTATCGATGAATTCAAACTGGACAAATAATAAGCGATTCACCGGTGGATCGTATGAAATTTTTTTTTCGTAGCTTTTCAAAAAGTTTCATTTTTGAATGTAAATTTCAATCGGATTTCAAACACATCAGGAAGTGTTCACTTTGGATTAATTATTATGATAAGTATCTACTATATTTTTGTACCAATTGGTATGTCAGCTACCTGAAATCTTAAATCTTGATAGGCCATAATTTCCTCGACGGTTCATGCTTTTGTAATTGTTTTTCAGTAATTTCTATACGAGGACCCTTTTTATAATTGAATCGGACTGTCGTAAAGTATACCTCATTCATATTTTTTTGAAAAAAAGTGCGTTCAAATTCGATTTTCAAGAGGAAAAAAGTCTGTTACCGAAAATCGGCCCCAACAATAAATATCGTGCAAAAGCCAGATATTTAAAACTCCGGCAGTTATAGAATTTCTAGACGAACAGTATTAGTAAAAATCTAACTCCAATAAGAAAACACTTTGTATAATGTTTCCACCTTCGATATAATAGTTTAGGTTTTATAGCTAAACTGCAATAATAATTCATGCATAAAATAAGACATAATCTTGACATGAATTTGATAAATTCTTTTATCTCGCGATGTGCAGTTCACTATTATAATTATTAAACTATT